ACTGCATTCCTGCAGTTTGGACTCTAATCTTTGCTGTGTCTAATCTGAAACAGACTGTGTTCAGTGGCCTTGCAGATTCAGGAAACTGACTTCTGTTTAAAGTCCCATTAAACTCATCTACATTTGGACATTGGAAATCAGTGATAGCACTAAACATTTACTAAAATGTCCCCTATATAATAATACAATATGCTCCTTAAGTGTGGTGACCTGTGTTTATGGTCACGCCCACAGATAAGAACAGTGACGTGACCGAATGTCTTGAGAACAGCTGGAGCTCCAGTTCTGACTGAGGCTCAGAAGACATGATGATGTTAATAGATTACAGTGGTCCCATGTGCTTTGAGAATCCAGCTCCTGGATCCCACCCACCTCGGATTTCACGTCGATGTACACAGGCTACATTCAGCCCATGTTAGAGTGAACCAGCACAGCACAGCGTGGAAATCTGTCAGAAGCTCTGTGGACCCAGACTGAGGGTATTCTGCTCATCAAACAGCACTTCAAACTCGTCACCTCCACGAGACGAGAAACACTGCTTTTAGAGTCTGGCTGCACTCTCAGAAATAAAGGTACTAAACTGTCACTGGGTCAGTTCCCCTCTCATCACTGGGGTGGAACCCTCAAGGGTCCATCTCAGTACCTTTAGTCAGGGAACATAACTGAACCATAATCCACTGAATGATATGTTCTAAGCTGTACTGACTCCACACACCCCGTCTCGTCTCCAGGCTTTTATTTTACTGTTCTGTTTAAAACATTCGGTTATGAAAAGGTACAAATATGAACTTTTCACCTGGAAACACTTATTTAAGGTTCACAATCAGACCTTAAAACCACCTTTGAGGAACACTTACACTGTTTGTACTGTGATGAATGAGAAATGTACCTGAACAGAACCTTTATTTCTCACTGTACTGGACTCCAGGGCCTGGACCAATCGGCAAACAGGAGCAGTACCAAACTGCAGACCCCAAAAATGAGAACTAACAGATGTTCAAAAAGTCACCCACAACATTTCTGACATCATTTTAAAATGTGGATTCATACAGTTTTTGGTATTTTCTGAATGTATAAATGCTCACACAGTTCTTTTTAAATGCTGTGTGAGTGGAAATAAAAATCCACTCCAAAATCCAATTATGTCTCTAGGCAACACCTAGACGTGTACGGCCATGCTAGAAATCAGGGACAAATGCAGTAATTGGGACGGTAAGCAGAGCTGGTGGACGAGCTGAGCAGCAGGACAGCAGGGGACGGATTCATGAAAGTGTCTTAAGAAAGAAAATCTTAAAATGTGTATTTTTGTTCAACATTCTTAAGAAAAACGTTACAACAAACTGAAATCAGAAATAACAGGTAATACAAACTCAGAATGGATCTCGTGTTTATGGTACACGGTAAAATGCAACGTAGCAAACATTAGAAAAAATAAAGACTTTCTCAAGAAAATCTTAAGGAACTAAGTAAGATTAAGATTATAAGAGGATATTTGAGAACTTCTTAAGTTTTTTTGAGAATTGAATTAAGAACATTCTTATGATCTTCTAAGTGTTTGTCTTAAGAACCTCTGCAAGTTTTTCTTAAGAAAGCTTTAGTGAATCCGGCCTCTGGCCCAGAGACCGGCGCAAGCGGAAACGTTTCCGGCTGTTTCTCAACATTTGGGGCCCTCGGCTCTGCTTGAAATCAAATCGTTTAGTAAATAGAGAGAGAGAGAGAGAGAGAGAGAGAGAGAGAGAGAGAGAGAAAGAGAGAGAGAGGGAGAGAGGCAGCTTCACTCTGCTTTTAAAAGAGGCAGCATTCCACTGAAATAAATAGCAGGACAACAGAAGGTAATGAGTCCCATGTGTGGGAGGCAGTAAAGGCAGGAGAGGAAGAGTAAGTAATGCCCCCACTGGATCCTCAGCAGAGTTTTATGCTGTGATCGAGTGGTAACGAGTAAAATGCCCTCCAAATCAACTTTTTCCTTTAATAATTCAGATTTCTGGATGATACACTGAGTGACGTAACTGAATAATTTAATAATTAAAGGTACCAATTTTATGAACTTAAGAGGAGGAATATTTTTCAAATATACTCTATACCTTTACTGTCACTCAGTGCAGTTACTAAATATGAACAATGGAGTTTACAGTGGGTGTAATTTATATGTTTTTAAAATTGGTAAAAAAAAATGCAGGATACATATTCTGTGGGTCTCCATGCTTTATTTTTTCTGTGTGGTGGGACAACCCCACAACCCCCCTCCAACCATAGCACCCTAGGCTACTTGTGGGGTGCTGCTGTGAGGTGGAAGGCATTTTCTTTTATATTGGTTGGACAACAATGTCTTTGTGATTATATTCCGTGCTGAGGAATATTGATTGGACCTAAAGATCTTTGTGACTGTATACCGCTCCGAGGAGAGTCGGTTGGACCTAGAGATCTTTGTGACTGTATACCGCTCCGAGGAGAGTCGGTTGGACCTAGAGATCTTTGTGACTGTATTCCGCTCCGAGGAGAGTCGGTTGGACCTAGAGATCTTTGTGACTGTATTCCGCTCCGAGGAGAGTCGGTTGGACCTAGAGATCTTTGTGACTGTATTCCGCCCCGAGGAGAGTCGGTTGGACCTAATGTCCATGGCGTCCTGAGTTGCTATGGTGACGTTGCCATTCAGTAACTATGGGCTAAACCCAAACAAAGCGCTGCGTCGCGGTTTGAAGCGGATAAATGTGCGGAATTTAGAGCCTCTGCGGAAACAGAGCGGCTCAGGATGTCGGACATTCTGTGTCGGTGGCTGAACTCGGAGCTCCGGCTCTCGAAAGTCGTCGGTAAGAGTGAAGAGCGGCTCTGTGTCTCTGTACGACCTGCCGCTCCACCTTAAATCCTTAGCAGTCAGTGCTACAGCGCTTAAGGTGGAGCGGAAGGGCTGAGCTGTGGCTGCTGGGTCGGTGGTGGTGAGTGTGAGTGTGTGGAGCCTGTTGGGTCGGTGGGGGTGTGAGTGTGCGGAGGCTGCTGGGTCAGTGGGTGTGAGTGTGCGGAGGCTGCTGGGTCAGTGGGTGTGGGTGTGGGTGTGAGTGTGCGGAGGCTGCTGGGTCAGTGGGGGTGAGTGTGAGTGTGTGGAGGCTGCTGGGTCAGTGGGTGTGGGTGTGAGTGTGCGGAGGCTGCTGGGTCAGTGGGGGTGAGTGTGCGGAGGCTGCTGGGTCAGTGGGGGTGAGTGTGCGGAGGCTGCTGGGTCAGTGGGTGTGAGTGTGCGGAAGCTGCTGGGTCAGTGGGGGTGAGTGTGCGGAGGCTGCTGGGTCAGTGGGGGTGAGTGTGCGGAGGCTGCTGGTCAGTGGGGGGAGTGTGCGGAGGCTGCTGGGTCAGTGGGGGTGAGTGTGAGTGTGCAGAGGCTGCTGGGTTAGTGGGGGTGAGTGTGCGGAGGCTGCTGGGTCAGTGGGGATGAGTGTGAGTGTGCAGAGGCTGCTGGGTCAGTGGGGGTGAGTGTGAGTGTGCAGAGGCTGCTGGGTTAGTGGGGGTGAGTGTGCGGAGGCTGCTGGGTCAGTGAGGGTGAGTGTGAGTGTGCAGAGGCTGCTGGGTCAGTGGGGGTGAGTGTGAGTGTGCGGAGGCTGCTGGTCAGTGGGGGGAGTGTGCGGAGGCTGCTGGGTCAGTGGGGGTGAGTGTGAGTGTGCAGAGGCTGCTGGGTCAGTGGGGGTGAGTGTGAGTGTGCGGAGGCTGCTGGGTCAGTGGGGGTGAGTGTGCGGAGGCTGCTGGGTCAGTGAGGGTGAGTGTGAGTGTGCGGAGGCTGCTGGGTCAGTGAGGGTGAGTGTGCGGAGGCTGCTGGGTCAGTGAGGGTGAGTGTGAGTGTGCGGAGGCTGCTGGGTCAGTGGGTGTGGGTGTGAGTGTGCGGAGGCTGCTGGGTCAGTGAGGGTGAGTGTGCGGAGGCTGCTAGGTCAGTGGGGGTGAGTGTGCGGAGGCTGCTGGGTCAGTGGGTGTGAGTGTGCGGAGGCTGCTGGGTCAGTGGGGGTGAGTGTGAGTGTGCGGAGGCTGCTGGGTCAGTGGGTGTGAGTGTGCGGAGGCTGCTGGGTCAGTGGGGGTGAGTGTGAGTGTGCGGAGGCTGCTGGGTCAGTGAGGGTGAGTGTGCGGAGGCTGCTGGGTCAGTGGGGGTGAGTGTGAGTGCGGAGGCTGCTGGGTCAGTGAGGGTGAGTGTGCGGAGGTTGCTGGGTCAGTGGGGGTGAGTGTGAGTGTGCGGAGGCTGCTGGGTCAGTGAGTGTGAGTGTGCGGAGGCTGCTGGGTCAGTGGGGGTGAGTGTGCGGAGGCTGCTGGGTCAGTGGGGGTGAGTGTGAGTGTGCGGAGGCTGCTGGGTCAGTGGGGGTGAGTGTGAGTGTGCGGAGGCTGCTGGGTCAGTGGGGGTGAGTGTGAGTGTGCGGAGGCTGCTGGGTCAGTGGGGGTGAGTGTGAGTGTGCGGAGGCTGCTGGGTCAGTGGGGGTGAGTGTGAGTGTGCGGAGGCTGCTGGGTCAGTGAGGGTGAGTGTGAGTGTGCGGAGGCTGCTGGGTCAGTGGGGGTGAGTGTGAGTGTGCGGAGGCTGCTGGGTCAGTGAGGGTGAGTGTGAGTGTGCGGAGGCTGCTGGGTCAGTGAGGGTGAGTGTGAGTGTGCAGAGGCTGCTGGGTCAGTGGGTGTGGGGGTGAGTGTGCGGAGGCTGCTGAGCTGGTAAATGAGCTGAAATGTTGGGTGTGTTTGGTTTCAGAGCCTCACTCTCTCTCCAAGGACTTCTCCAACGGTTACCTGCTGGGAGAAGTGCTGAGCAGGTACCAGCTGCAGGAGGACTTCCAGAGCTTCTCCACCAACAGGTCTGTACTCCTTCACACCTCCTTATATAGGAGCACCAGTAAAACACAGTCAGTACGAGGATCGGCTGGTTCTGACTGCAACATTCACATCTATTAAATCTGCCACTTCAGGTCCTCCTACAGTGGAATAACTGTCACTGAACTGACACACTGAAATACACAGTTTACCTTTAAGTCAGTTAAAGTGGTTTTATAATAAACACACATATTTAAATATTAGATATTATATTCAGTGTTAGTGTTCAGGTCTCAGAGCTCCACTGAGACCTTATGAGACCTTGTATCACAACCCTCAATAAATAAATCAATAAACACATAAATAACCCACCAAGGGAAATTTAAGTTGGCTTGAAAATGCCAGTTAATAACGCTTTAAAAGGTAAAGTAGTTGTTTATGGCAGCCTAAGTGGTTGCTATGGTGTTGCTAGGCTGTTGCTATGGTATTCCAGGTGGTTTCTAAGGTGTTGCTAGGCTGTTGTTATGGTATTCCAGGTGTTTTTAAGGTATTGTTAGACTGTTGCTATGGTATTCCAGGTGGTTTCTAGGGTGTTGCTAGGCTGTTGTTATGGTATTCCAGGTGTTTTTAAGGTATTGTTAGACTGTTTCTATGGTATTCCAGGTGGTTTTTAAGGTGTTGCTAGGCTGTTTCTATGGTATTCCAGGTGGTTTTTAAGGTGTTGCTAGGCTGTTTCTATGGTATTCCAGGTGGTTTTTAAGGCGTTGCTAGGCTGTTTCTATGGTATTGCAGGTGGTTGCAAAGTTGTTGTTAGGTTGTTGCCATGTTATTCTAAGTCGTTGCTAAGGTGTTGTTAGGTTGTTGCTATGGTATTCCTGCTCAATGCTAAGGTGTTGTTAGGTTGTTGCTATGGTATTCCAGGAGATTGCTAAGGTGTTGTTAGGCTGTTGCTATGGTATTCCAGGTGGTTTCTAGGGTGTTGCTAGGCTGTTGTTATGGTATTCCAGGTGTTTTTAAGGTATTGTTAGACTGTTTCTATGGTATTCCAGGTGGTTTTTAAGGTGTTGCTTGGCTGTTTCTATGGTATTCCAGGTGGTTTTTAAGGCGTTGCTAGGCTGTTTCTGTGGTATTGCAGGTGGTTGCAAAGTTGTTGTTAGGTTGTTGCCATGTTATTCTAAGCCGTTGCTAAGGTGTTGTTAGGTTGTTGCTATGGTATTCCTGCTCAATGCTAAGGTGTTGTTAGGTTGTTGCTATGGTATTCCAGGAGATTGCTAAGGTGTTGTTAGGCTGTTGCTATGGTATTCCAGGTGGTTTCTAGGGTGTTGCTAGGCTGTTGTTATGGTATTCCAGGTGGTTTTAAGGTATTGTTAGACTGTTTCTATGGTATTCCAGGTGGTTTTTAAGGTGTTGCTAGGCTGTTTCTATGGTATTCCAGGTGGTTTTTAAGGCGTTGCTAGGCTGTTTCTATGGTATTGCAGGTGGTTGCAAAGTTGTTGTTAGGTTGTTGCCATGTTATTCTAAGCCGTTGCTAAGGTGTTGTTAGGTTGTTGCTATGGTATTCCTGCTCAATGCTAAGGTGTTGTTAGGCTGTTGCTGTGGTACTCCAGGTGGGTGCTAGTGTTGTTAGGCTGTTGCTAAGGTAAATCAGGTAGTTACTAAGGTGTTGTTAAGCAGTTACTATGGTATACCAGGTGACTGCTATGGTACTGCTAGGTTGATGCTAAGATGTTGCTAGGTTGTTGCTATACTGTACAAAATGGTTGCTAAAGTGTAACTCGGCAGTTGCTATGGTATTCCAGGTGGTTGCAATGGTGTTGTTAGGCTGTTGTTATGGTATTCCAGGAGATTGCTAAGGTGTTGCTAGGCTGTTATTATGGTATTCCATGTGGTTGCTATGGTGTTGCTAGGCTGTTGCTATGCTATTCCAGGTGGTTTCTAAGGTGTTCCTAGGCTGTTGCTATGGTACTCCACGTGTTTGCTAAAGTGTTGTTAGGCTGTTGCTATGGTATTCCAGGTGGTTGCTAATGTGTTGCTAGGCTGTTGTTATGGTATTCCAGGTGTTTTTAAGGTATTGTTAGACTGTTGCTATGGTATTCCAGGTGGTTGCTAAGTTGTTAGGTTGTTGTCATGTTATTCTAAGTCATTGCTAAGATGTTGTTAGGCTGCTGCTATGTTATTCCATCTCATTGCTAAGGTGTTGTTAGGTTGTTGCTATGGTATTCCAGGAGATTGCTAAGGTGTTGTTAGGCTGTTGCTATGGTACTCCAGATGGGTGCTAGTGTTGTTAGGCTGTTGCTAGGGTATTTGAGATGGTTACTAAGGTTTTGTTAAGTAGTTACTATGGTATACCAGTTGATTGCTAAGGTAAAGCTAGGTTGATGCGAAGATGTTGCTAGGTTGTTGCTATGCTATACTAAATGGTTGCTAAAGTGTAGCTCGGCAGTAGCTTTGGTGTCCCAGGTGGTTGCTAAGGTGTTGTTTGGCTGTTGCTATGGTACTCCAGGTGGTTGCTAAGGTGTTGTTAGGCTGTTGCTATGGTATTCCAGATGGTTGCTAAGGTGTTGTTAGCCTGTTGCCATGGTACTCCAGGTGGTTGCTAAGGTGTTGTTAGGCTGTTGCTATGGTATTCCAGGTGGTTGCTAAGGTGTTGTTAGGCTGTTGCTATGGAATTCAAGGTGGTTTCTAAGGTGTTGTTAGGCTGTTGCTGTGGTATTTCAGGTGGTTTATAAGGTGTTGTTAGGCTGTTGCCATGGTACTCCAGGTGGTTGCTAAGGTGTTGTTAGGCTGTTGCTGTGGTATTTCAGGTGGTTTCTAAGGTGTTGTTAGCCTGTTGCCGTGGTACTCCAGGTGGTTGCTAAAGTGTTGTTAGGCTGTTGCTATGGTATTCTAGGTGGTTGCTAAGATGTTGTTAGGCAGTTACTATGGTATACCAGGCGTTTACTAAAGTATTGTTAGATCGTTGCTATTCTATCCTAGGTGGTTGCTAAAGTGTTGCTCAGCAGTTTGGTGTCCCAGGTGGTTGCTTTATAATGAGTCATATCACACCATGTTACATAACAGCGTTTAAAGTGTTCAGCACGTAGGAAAAATCTAAAATATGATTTACTCGAGTGTCACACACCACAAGAGACAACACAAGACTTTTATTCTGACATGCTTTCAAGAAATAGTGGGCAGGACATTGCATCATAAAAAAAACCCAAAAACCTTCATGGTTCAACGCCCTGCCTACTCTGTCTTAAAAAGCATGTCAGAATAAAAGTCCTTTGTTGTTTGTTTGACAGTTAAATTAAAATGTACATGTTTTTCAAAGTCACGGTGCATGCACAGCACTCATGCTTTTAATTTAACTGATCAATGAAGGTTAGTTTCTGTCTCTTTTTCAGCACGGGCAATGCGAAGCTGAATAACTTTACGAGGCTGGAACCCACCCTGCAGCTGCTCGGCGTTCCCTTTGACCTCAGCATGGCTAAAGCAGTGATGCAGGGCCAGCCGGGGGCAGCTACACGCCTGCTTTACCAGCTCTATGTCCTCCTGCAGAAGAAGAAAAGATCAGGACTGACGGGAACGGCTCTGGAGACCATGCAGCCCGCAGCCACCGCCAGACTGCACCGTATAGAGAACCACATCTACACTCAGGTACACCTTCCACCAGACTGCACCACATAGAGAACCACATCTACGCTCAGGTACACACTCCACCAGACTGCACCACATAGAGAACCACATCTACACTCAGGAACACTCTCCACCAGACTGCACCGTATAGAGAACCACATCTACACTCAGGTACACCTTCCACCAGACTGCACCACATAGAGAACCACATCTACACTCAGGAACACTCTCCACCAGACTGCACCGCATAGAGAACCACATCTACACTCAGGAACACTCTCCACCAGACTGCACCGTATAGAGAACCACATCTACACTCAGGTACACACTGCACCAGGAACCACATAGGACACTTCCACCAGACTGCACCGTATAGAGAACCACATCTACACTCAGGAACACTCTCCACCAGACTGCACCGTATAGAGAACCACATCTACACTCAGGAACACTCTCCACCAGACTGCACCGTATAGAGAACCACATCTACACTCAGGTACACCTTCCACCAGACTGCACCGTATAGAGAACCACATCTACACTCAGGTACACCTTCCACCAGACTGCACCACATAGAGAACCACATCTACACTCAGGTACACCTTCCACCAGACCGCACCGCATAGAGAACCACATCTACACTCAGGTACACGCTCCACCAGACCGCACCGCATAGAGAACCACATCTACACTCAGGACCATACCTTTGAAAAAACTCTGGGCTTTCCGAATGCGATGCCTGAGGCACATCCTCTGGATCGCCTTTTGTGATCGCATCAACAACGACACCATCTGAGCCAAATGTCAACAGCAACCAAAAAATTGAGGGACAGATGCAGCAGCATAGGCTGAGATGGTTGGGACACGTGTGCAGAGTGGGCGTAAACCATATACTGCACCAACTTCTCTGGAGCGACCTACCCAGTGGAAAATCCTCACGTATGCTCACGTATACCACTCTACGTTTACACAAACCACTCTGTGTTCTTAAAAAGCACTCAGTGTTCTCACAAACCACTCCACATTCACGCAAAACACACTGCATTCATGCTTCTCTATGTTCCTGCAAAGTCCCACAGCACGAGTTGTTCAGCCATCTCTAATAGACTTGATTATGGTGTGAAATTTGGCAGTAAACACTCTTTCTCACTTTGCCTCTCCAATGAGAACATCTCAGTAATGCCCTCTGGTCTCTCTCAGATCCTCCTGACCTGATGACCAATAGCTATTATAAGAAAGTGTGAGAGCCGTAAGGACGTGTTTAACTGAGCCTCTCTAACAGCAGAACTTTCCTGCTGTGTGTCTCTCAGCGTTTGCGTGCGGTGGTGAAGCGCGAGGCAGACGAGAAGATGCAGAAGATAACTCAGCGCTTCGATAAGAGAGGTCAGGACATGTACGGACGCTCGGTGATGGCTGAGCTGGAGCAGGAGGAGAAACGGCGCCACCTGCAGGAGGAGAGGAGACTGCAGGATATCGAAAAGGTGAGCTCATCTGGGGGAAATGAGCAGTACTGCTGGGTGTGACATCACAACCATACTGAATTCAGGATAATCGGTGTAAAACGAGCCTGGAAAGTGGTTATGTATTTAAATTAATTACTTTTTTAGTACCAAAAGTGAAAAATAAGAAAATGTAGAATATGTTCCCTTTAATTCCTGCTTTAAGAGACATTCTCCTGCTTTCCCTGTTTAGTTATGTTTTAGCTCCTCTGTGGTTGTGGTTTGAGAACACTGGGTTTAAGCATGTATATGGTTGTAGCATCGGCAGGCCCGTAAGAAACAGCAGGAGATTATGGAGCGCATCGAGACGGCTGCGGTCCGAATCCCGAAGCCTCCCATGAGCCGCTCCCTCAGAGCGCCACGGAACCAGCAGCGGCAGCAGGAGGCTCAGGTAAACTCACCTGCACAGCTAAGCCTACAAACACCAACCTGTTTAGAGTAATAATTCAGTGAAAAATTAAAGCCCCCCAGTTTCCCCCACCTTGCTCCAAATATAGCTGATCAGCCAAGATATTTTTGGTAACTAAAGTTTGCTTCACTACTCTGGAGCCACGAAACTATCAGGTTATGGAAGCTTAACTTCCACCAATTAGCATGGTGCTAACAGCATGCCCAAATCATCACACATTTGCCTCAAACGCGTTAGTGAAGTTGGCTTCTTATTGGCCAAAAAATTCAGTGGAATGGAAAACCTGAATAAGAAGTTGGTGAATAGGAAGACAACTTCAGCTTCATGCCTCAAAGCCTGTGTTCAGTGTCTCTGATAGTCTTGATTCTGTGGTTTCTGACTCTGTATGACTCACTGTTATCTGTAAACATGGACTAAAGTACATTAGCATAAATAAACACAGACACATCTTTACGGCTGATTTCTGTCTGTTTTTATAATGTGGTGAATGTAATGTAATGATTTTTAGTTCTTGTGGAATTTTAAATTGTTTGTTATCTATTATTATTAATTATTTTTTGTCAGAATGTACATCAGCAGATTGCTCAGTTTGAGAAGAGCAGGAAGAGACTGTCTCCTGCTTCCTATGGACCCACATCTTTCAGGTAAAAGTCACTGCGCAGGCCGGACACAGTAACCTCTCAGTGGTGCACAGAAATCTGTATTTCTGTGTAAATATGCACAATAATATGTATTTCCACTTAAATATACACAGAAATATATATTTACACTTAAATATACACATTAATATATCGCTGCTGTCGGAAGAAAACCTTCCAGTTTTGTCGTTTTTCAGTTTTTGACATAATCTGAAAATTCCTGTTTCCCTTTACATTGTGTGTAAATTTCATGATAATTGGACGAAAAGAGACGGCCCAGAATGACTTGGACAAAAAGTCCGGTTCCGTTAACTTACATTAAAAGTAAAGTAGATTTTTCCTTCTCCCAGTAAAGTTTCCATTTTGGAGATACGAGGTTTTCTTCTGACCACAGCGATATTTTTCTACTTAAATATTCAGATGAATATATATTTCCACTTAAATATGCTAATTAACGTATATTTCCATTTGAATATGCACATTATTATCCATGTATGTGATTTCCACTTAAATAAGTGTAAATATGCCTAATACTCCAGTCTGGTTTGGACAGAAAATGTCAGTGACCATTCAGAATGTCCACTGTGTTATCGAAACACTGCAGCAGTAACAGCTAATTTAACCCTTTTTTAGAGATGCAGTAAAATGTAATTCAGCCTGTTGTGGAGGTGTTGCAGTTTAGCCTTTTAATTACATTAGAAACATTTAGAATGTTTGAATTACGTTTGGATTACTTTTTAAACTGTATCTACATTTGACACATAATGAAGATAAACAACAAAACTGTTTATGTAGTGAGCTGAAGGTGGTTGGTACAGTGTAGTGGGTAAGACATCTGTGTTCTATGCCGTAGTCTGGGGTTCAGTCCCCACCTGGGCAAACACCCTACACTATACCAATAAGAGTCCTTGGGCAAGACTCCTAACACTGCCTTCACCTACCTGTGCAAAAGGATCAAATTGTAAGTCGCTCTGGATAAGATCGTCTGCCAAATGCTGTAAATGTAAATGAAGGGTTTAGCTGCATTACTGTGTACTAGCAAGGCCTGCCTTGCTAACAGTAGCTCCATTACTGCTGACGAGACTGCTGTTAAAGCTGGTCTAAGAATGCCCCTTAGATCGCTTCTCACTGACTCTGGGCTGAAGTTATCTGGCTAACTGATAAACCCTGCTCTGTAAAATCCTTCCAGGTGTGCGCTGTGTTATTTTACACTAGCTGTTTGTGTGTCCAGTGTGCAGGTGACCCGCGCTGTAAGTGAAGACGAAATGGCTCAGTGGAACAATGAATACGTTCAGAAGATCCGTCAGCGTCTGGAGGAGGACGCCACTGCCCGAGAGCAGAGAGAGAAACGCCGCAGACGAGCGCTAATACAGCAGCTCCACACACACCACACACACGAGGTCAGATACACACTATTTAAATAGGTTTATGCTATGATTGTCACTCTAAATGTAGGTATTGTGATATAAACTGAGTCTGTTCTACAGTTTCTCATTAGGCTGAATGAATAACTGACTCTAAATGTAGGTATTGTGATATAAACTGAGTCTGTTCTACAGTTTCTCATTAGGCTGAATGAATAACCGACTCTAAATGTAGGTATTGTGATATAAACTGAGTCTGTTCTACAGTTTCTCATTAGGCTGAATGAATAACCGACTCTAAATGTAGGTATTGTGATATAAACTGAGTCTGTTCTACAGTTTCTCATTAGGCTGAATGAATAACCGACTCTAAATGTAGGTATTGTGATATAAACTGAGTCTGTTCTACAGTTTCTCATTAGGCTGAATGAATAACTGACTCTAAATGTAGGTATTGTGATATAAACTGAGTCTGTTCTACAGTTTCTCATTAGGCTGAATGAATAACCGACTCTAAATGTAGGTATTGTGATATAAACTGAGTCTGTTCTACAGTTTCTCATTAGGCTGAATGAATAACCGACTCTAAATGTAGGTATTGTGATATAAACTGAGTCTGTTCTACAGTTTCTCATTAGCCTGAATGAATAACTGACTCTAAATGTAGGTATTGTGATATATATATATATATATATATATATATATATATATATATATATACGTTGAACTGCATTAAAGTGGTTTCCTCGTGTAGGAGATGGTGCGGGAGGAGCAGCTGATTGCTCGTTTGGTGCGTCAGTCACAGCAGGAGAAGCGAATCGCAGTGCAGCTGATGCAGATCAGACAGCAGAAGGAGGTTCTGAGGCAGAACCGAATCCTCCGACAGAGACAGTATGAAGAACAGAGGCTCACAGCCTTCCACCAGGCTCTGGACCGAGAGACGGTGAGAAAAAACACACAAAGTCCTGCACAAAAACTCACATTTTCATTATTCTACATCTTTGGAACATTAACAACGCTTTTATAGGACAAACTCTTCAATGAAACATTCATGAACAGGCAAAAAAAATCATGATGAGGTTGCTTGAAATAAGAACACATGCATATTGAGACTCACACACACTTCAAAACTTATAACTAAGACTAAAGTCATTAAAAAAAAGTTACGGCACAACAAAATGAAAATTCTGAAACTCCTGTAATCAGTAATGTCAACTTTTATCATTTAACAGATGGAATAGGCTCCGGTGGTTTTACTGGTTCTTTTGTCTCTGTTCCAACTGATCAGCTGTATAAATATTGTGACATTGTGTATCATGAACATTTCTTGACGTATTGTGATATTATATATATGTTTACCATATATTATATGCCCTACCTATAGTTGATGATGTGTGTATGTGTGTTCAGGCTCTTCTCCAGCAGGATCGTGTGGAGCATCAGGAGGAGATACGTAAGGAGCGAGAGCTTCATGCCCGTCTGGCTGCTGAGCGCGCTCAGTCCAAACACCAAAAACACTTCAACATCTGCAGGGAGATTCTGGAGCAGATCGTAGATCTGGCAACCAAGAGTGGGGAGTACCGCCTGCTCACGGCCAAGTACGATTTAAGACCTTTACACACAAAACATGATTTATTTGCCCTATTTACTCAGATATCAGTAGGTCAATTTAAACACAGCCATAACTGACGATACCTTGCACTGAACAGTCTGGTGGATTAGCTGTGTCAACTAGAACGTTCTGACAAACATCAGAAGGATTCCTTTGCTTTCTGAAATGGAGTAATGTCCATCCAAAAGGGAGAGTACTCAGATAAAGAACCGAATATATCTGGAGCAATGTTTGAAGAGACTGGTGAGCATCTCCTTATAAATAAATATATACCACACACTCTTTATGTTTTTCTCTCTGTATTCCTCTCCATTGTAGTGCTATTCCTCTGAAGTTGATTAGGGAGTGGAAGGAGATGTATTTCAGTGGTAAGCCGCTGTATGAAGTGTCTGAGCTGGAGTTGGGGGTGGAGCCTGCTGAACCCAGCCCAGAGCAAGCCATTGAGCTGGAAAAACTAAACATCCTCAACCAGCAGGACTACGATGAGTACACAGTAAGTAGAGTCAGTTAGTCTAATAGTTTCGTAATGAGTTTGTTTTAAAATATTAGTGTGTTTGTAATTTCATGAATTCTTTATAATGTATAATTTATACTTCTATAAAAAAACAACAACAACGAAAAGAGTGTAACAAAGGAGAAATATTGAGACATGGGAGAAAACGCTAACAAGGCAGGGCTAGGGAGGGCACTGGAGAGGGTGGAGTCCATGACAGGTCTTCCCTCAAGACATAAATGCTAAGAGATGCAACTGGGTTCAGAAGCAGGAAATTCGTAGTAGGATGGAGGACAGAAAAACATACAGGGTGTGGAACTGGGACCAACACGGTCACTAGAAAAAAGATGAGAGTGGTGAAGCGCAGAGCAGAAAACTGGAGACTGTGAAACAGGTGACTAGGGGTCAGTCAAGCCGAGAAGTGGGGAGCCTTGTCAAGCAGAGACCTGGGGGGGACTGCCAGGCAGGAAACTAGGGGGCTGGACAGGCAGGGTTTGCTGAGCAGGGAGCTGGAGGGACTGTTGAGCAGGGAAGTAGGGGGGCTCTCAAACAGGGAATTGGGGAGACTGTTGAGCAGGAACATAGGGGGACTGCAGAATATGTATTTGGGGAACCTGTCAAACAGGAAACTGGGGGAGTGTTGAGCAGAGAACTGGAGGGACTTTTGACCATGGTCAGAAAGGTCTGATGAACAGGGAGCTGGAGGGGACTGTTGAACAGGGAATTTGGGAGACAGGTAGGGAACTGGAGGGACTATCGAGCATGGACATGGGAAACCGTGGAACAGGAAACTAGGGAAGCTTTGAAACAGGGAACTTGTGGGGACTGTTGAGCAGGGAATTTCACTGTCTGTCATGCACAGAACTGGAGTGACAATCAGACTGGAGGGACTGTCAAACATGGATTTGGGGAACTGTTGAGCATGGAAGAACTGTAGAACCTGGACATGGGGAAAAGTTGATCAGGGAAATAGACTGTTGAACCTGGACATGGGATAAAGTTCATCAGGGAAGTAGAAAGACTGTTGAACCTGGACATGGGCTAGAGTTGAGCAGGGAACTGGAGAGATTGTGGAGCTGGAATCTGGGCAATAGTAGAGCAGGGATGTGGGACAGCAGGTAGCCAGTTCTTGGTTAATTAGTGTTTTTTTTGTGAGTGTACTGCTTAATTTTCAGTAAGTTTGTTTCTTAGTTTCTTAGATAATTCATTTCTTAATATCTTTGATTTTGTTATTTTACTCTTAATTAGATTGTCTTTTGATTTTAGTTCATTTGATGGTTGTTTGAAGTCAAAAATGTTACAAAAATTTGTTTGTGGTGTTTGTTGCAGAATATGACGGGTGAATGGACGTGGCCTGAAGAAGAAGGAGAGAGCAGAGCTCCGCCCACCAATAATGATATTCTGGGCCATGTTGTTGCTCGTCTGCAGAACATTGTGAATCCCCCTTGCCTGAATGACCCTTCACCACAATTCCCAAATTTCTCTCTCAGAGCATGTGTGCTCGGAAAAGTGTGCTCTGGCAAGACCACCTGCCTCACCAGGATCAGCGAGGGTACTCCAACCTACACAATCAGATTTGCCCTCAGTTTCAGTTTCCCCTCTTACCTCAAATACAGTCGATCAGCCATGACACGTTTGGTGTCTCAAGTTCAGTTTTCTGTTTGTCAGGTAACTGGCAAAATAGAAAACTACCAGCTTTACATAAAGTCCATCAGGAGGCTCTGACATGATGTTGTTTGACATGATCACGTGATGTTTTGATTGGTTATTTCATGAAGAGACGATTGCAGCTGTTAAGGCTGAGTTTCAGGTGAGGATGCTTTGTGCACCTCAGGTGAAATTTAGTTGATGTAAGTTTTTAAGGTAGTGAAGTTATTCCCTGTGTGAAGTCTAACGTCTTGACTACATTTGGGGTGAAAGAGGAAACTGCAAAGTTGATTATTTGTTAAACTATTGCTTTAAAGTTTCTTATAGCTTTTTGGTATTGTTACAAATGTAGTGTTTGTCCTGCTGAATTTACTGATTAACTGACTGCCTTCCATGCAGTACATGGCATCCACATTCTGTCAGCTGACACGCTGATCCAGGAGGCGCTGGCTGCCCACCAAGCTGGAGAACAGGTCCCGAGTGACCACAGCCCAGAGCTTGAGGTACTGACCTACCGACTACCACAATGTTTTCATGAAAAAATCGTATTTACAGTAATCGATCAGCTGAGAGCTCTTTATGAAAGCTATGGTAATGTACTTTAGTCAATATTCATAGACAACAGTGAGTCAGACACCACATAAGCAACTCCACACCGTTTTAGGCACAAAGCTGAATTCGGCCTCCTATTTGCCAGCATCTTATTCTAATTTTGCTTTTAATCATCACACATTTACGGCATTTGGCAGATGCTCTTATCCAGAGTGACTTACAATTCACTTTTTTTTAACACAGGTAAAAGGAAAAGGTAGTGTTAGGAGTCTTGCCCAAGGACTTTTATTGGTATAGTGTAGGGTGCTCACCCAGGCCAGTGTTCAAACCCCAGTCTACAGCGTAGAGGGCAGTGGTGTTACCCACTACACTATACCAACCACACATTCACAATTTTCCTTTCCACCTCAAATAGCACAGACGTTACAGAAGGGACAATTCCAATAAGAAGCTGGTACATAGAAGATCTTCTTCACCAACATGTCATGCAAGTGTGTGAGGATTTAAGCATGCAGTTAGCACCATGCTAATTAGTGAGGCTTCTATCACTTGTTAGCCACATTAGCCTCATAGCTCCAGTGCTAAAACTAAAAGCAAACTTCAGACACCAAATGTGTCTTGGCTGATCGACTGCATTTGGAGTGATGGAGGGAAAATCTTTCTGCTGAACTCTTGCTTGAATCTGTCTGTTTGAGCTGTACTGTTTGCTCTGTGGTGTAGACGAGTGCGGAAAGCTGTGGATCTGATACTCAGGAAGCTGAGCAGAGAGAGGAGGAGTCATCTACTGCTGCAGACTCAGGTATGTATATTCATTACTGTAATAACCAAAAGGAAGACGTGTAATAATGACAATACATACGCTAACATTCAAATTATCGGAATCGCTGGTCATATTATTACATTTTTCCCCAGGTCCTGTGTCCAAAGACCTGCCTAAAAAAGACAGCGAGACTAAAGTAAGCACTGCAGAGATTTACAGTAGTCACAGTAATGTTCTCAGCCTTAGAGATATTTTGATCTGCTGTGCTGTTCACACTTAGTGGCAGTGAGTGAGATGTTGTGTGTTGCTGTTTACCCAGCAGTCTTTGCGGGCGCAGCATGGTGCAGCAGTGGAGAAGGCTCTGAGGAGGGGCGGAGCCATTCCTGATGAGCTGCTCATTGACATCTTCATACATGCAGTCAGGTACACACCTGGGCACCTGCCTGACACATCTGTGTGACACATCTGCCTCATGTACCTGCCTCATACACCTTCTACTTCTGGCTCTTACACTTGACTGAGACTCCTAACTGATACCTCTGCCTCATATACCTAGCTCTTACATCTGTCCCTTACACCTGACTGATGCACCTGCCTCTTATACCTGACTGAAACATCTGTTAAAAATGCCTCATCTGTTCTGGCCTCTCTGGCGCCCCCTGGTGTGTGCTGCAGGCAGGTTCCAGAGGGCCGTGGTTGGGTTCTGGATGGGTTCCCAACCAACGTGTCTCAGGCCCGGCTGCTGGAGAAGGCCCTGAGCGGAGCCGACCCGGACCAGGCTGACAGGAAGAGGCGGAACAAGAAGCCTAACCTGGTGGAAGACAAGAATGCCCCCAAAGCCCCGCCCCCTCCTTTACCTGCACTGCACCTGGCCATGCTACTTGAGGTCTCAGACGAGCAGGTGCTGGACCGGGCTATCCACCAGAGTCGTGAGTCCACTGCCTTCATGACATTACCATTATTTATACACAGTTTTAGATTCTGCCTTCTGATCTGTGTTGTAGTCATTTCAGGTATTACTGTACCTATTCAGTCAGAGTTTCTCTGAGCTTTAAAAGCTTGAAAAGCTAAAGATACACTGATTAAGTTTTATTTAAATGTTTCCCAGCAGAGCAGGTGAGAGAGGAGAACGCTAATAAGAGCAATGACACTCTGCCAAAGACGCAGGACCAAACACTTCCTCCTGAACATACACAACAGAGTGCTCCCCCTGCTGGAGACCACACACACATCCAGCACAGGTAGAGTTCATCAATAACAGCCAACGTCCAGACCTGCCCTGTTTCTGCTGACGGTGTGATGGAGATTAGAAACATTTCAGTTTCATTTACAAACTTCTACCAGCTTCTAACCAGATTCATTATGGTAAATACTGACTGGCTCTACTTTGCTGTATCATAATTGTCTCAAATCCTTGGTCAAGAGAGAACAGGGGTCCTCTTCCCAGTCCTGGAGATCCCACACCACACACATTGTTGTGTTCCCCTGTTCTAGCACACATTAATTAATTAATGAAGTCATTCCTCGTGTGCTGTTCAGGTGTGTTAGAGTAGGGAAAACACAGGAATGTGCAACGCATGGGGTCCCCATGACTGATATTAGGAACCACTGAGCTATTATATTTTTATTTGGATTTTGCCTCATACTTCCCCAGTTCTACTGTATGGAGCCTAATGGACTTAAAAGGACAGGTTTTCCACTAGTGGTTTGTGTAAATTAGTGTTCTCAAGCGACTGTTATTAAGATATTCTGGTGGGTTTCGTCGCTTAACATGGTCAATAATCATCATGCCTCGTCAGGTAATTACCAAGGCCTTCATGAACTGAATTCAGAGTGCTGGAAGAGGGAAAGCGCTAATCTGTGCAGAGCTGTGGCCTGGAAGGAACCCAGTTTGACACCCATGATCTAAGAGCTCATATGAAGACGTAGCACTGGGGGTCATTTCACAAAGCAGCATTTCTCAGGCAACCTGGTCCACTTTAGGATTAAGTTATCCAGTTTATTCAGTAATCCTGCCTTGTGAAATACAGTTCAGATGCTGGTAGTTTTGTCTAAATGAACTTGTCTAAGAGAACAAAATGGTGCTACAACAAAAACAGGCTTGCAGAAACCCCGAGCTGAACTGATATCCTGGTCTAAAGGGCACCTCAGATGCTCACTGTACCTCACTGGGCGGTGCCTCGAAGGCTGACTGTGTTCCCTCCACTGTACTTGTTTTCCAGGATAGCTACGTTTCAGGACGCTTGGTCTAAACTGGAGAAGTGGTTTGGAGAGAAACAGAAGATTCTGGTCAAAGTCTTGGCTGAGGTGGACAAGGACGCGCTCTTCAGGAGTGTGGAGACTGTCCTGTTTAACACCATGACCGCTGCACAGAAAGGTCCACACTTACTCCTTCTGTCTGGTCATCTGAGACTCAGCCTCAACAGCTGCATCACAGCAATGCATTCATATTCGTCTGGTTATCACGATTAGTGGCTAGAATATTTAATATATGATTCCACCTAAATAAGGTCTCTGATGTGTGATTTACATTTCCGTCAGTGTGTCTTTCTTATATTAGAAGAAAAAATATACTATAATATAATATAATATAATATAATTGTTGTTTTGTTGTTTTTGTTTCTGTTGTTATTATAACCATGTTGAGTATGTAAATGAATGTTTCAGGTGATGAAGCTGCAGAAGGCAGTGTAAAGGTCACTGATGACTCTGCGTCCCTGACCGTCCCTGAGCCTATAGCGTCTGAGTCAGCCGCTAAAGGTCAGCTTTACTCTGTTATTGTCCCACTGCACTCACATCCACTCAGGCTTTAAACAGTGCAACAGGACAGGGAACCTCACTCAGTGTGGAGATCTCCCACCCTGCAGCTTCCAGTCCATTATTTCCTTACTGAACTGGAATATAATACTCTTACATTCAGGCCCAAACTAAAGAGTCTGAGTCACCTTCAGGATCAAACAGTCACTCAGACACAGCAAACAAGGGTAAAGCCATACAGTCCAAGTCAAGGTCCAAACCAAGCCCTCAAAGTCAGAATCAGGCCAATCAGATGACAAACACATTCTGAAAGAGTAATAATGGAGCTGTGTTACTGATGCACGTCATAAATAATGCATGTTTATATTTTTACAAGCCTGTTCATTATCTCTTATTAAAACCTCATGCCTTCCTGATCCTTAGAGGGCGCTGCAGGGCGTTCCAGACGGACCTCCATCTCCACAGTGTCTGCTGGGGAGGCTCCTTCCCCGACCCCGGGCTCCACTGGCTGGGTTTATGTGGACGAGCCGTTACCACAAGTAACAACACATCTAATCAATAAGTCTATCATTAAATATTGAATCTATTGATGATGATTATATGCATAAAAATAATAATAATAATAATAATAATAATGATAATAATAATACACACACAAAAAACAAATAACTTCTTATTTTGAGATGTTTTCCTCAAAAACTTGTTTCCCATCATTTCCACATTTAATATAACTGCTGTCTGAATATAGCTAACTCTAGCTAACTCTAGCTAATCGGACTGAGAATCAGAACAGAATCGTAATTTTGTAAACATACCTGTGCACACGCCGATGCTGAAAAAATAACACTGTGTTTGTGTTTGTTATTGTGCAGGAGATTGCGGAGTATTTAGTGCCGTACTGGGACACCGTGTGCAGTTCGTACGTCTCTAACGTCAAAGCTGTGATGCAGAACCTGCGCAGTGAACGCAACCTCATCATACACCACCTCTACAACATCAGGTCAGAGACACCTGGCTGTCTTTGAGCTCGTACTGAATCACTGCTGCACCATCTTTCAGATCACCATCTTGAGTCCACCTGCATGTTCGTGCATCCTTTACTCTGCACGTCTGGTGTATTTTGCAGTGTTTGTGATTAGTGAGCTGTACAGAATTCACTATATTATTTTTATCTCCTCTTGGTGTTTAATATAGCAGAGTATAGACGCAGATAAACGACTTTAAACGATTTTAAGCAGTATCTGCAGAGGTCTGATCTAAAGCAGGAGTTTGTGTGTTTTTCAGGGGGATTTTAAGCAGTATCTGCAGAGGTCTGATCTAAAGCACAAGTTTGTTTTTCAGGGGGATTTTAAGCAGTATCTGCAGAAGTCTGATCTAAAGCAGGAGTTTGTGTGTGTTTTTCAGGGAGGACTTTAAGCAGTATCTGCGGAGGTCTGATCTAAAGCAGGAGTTTGTGTGTGTTTTTCAGGGAGGACTTTAAGCAGTATCTGCAGAGGTCTGATCTAAAGCAGGAGTTTGTGTGTTTTTCAGGGAGGACTTTAAGCAGTATCTGCAGAAGTCTGATCTAAAGCAGGAGTTTGTGTGTTTTTCAGGGAGGACTTTAAGCAGTATCTGCAGAGGTCTGATCTAAAGCAGGAGTTTGTGTGTGTTTTTCAGGGAGGACTTTAAGCAGTATCTGCAGAGGTCTGATCTAAAGCAGGAGTTTGTGTGTTTTTCAGGGAGGACTTTAAGCAGTATCTGCAGAAGTCTGATCTAAAGCAGGAGTTTGTGTGTTTTTCAGGGAGGACTTTAAGCAGTATCTGCGGAGGCCTGATCTAAAGCAGGAGTTTGTGTGTTTTTCAGGGAGGACTTTAAGCAGTATCTGCAGAGGTCTGATCTAAAGCAGGAGATTGTGTGTGTTTTTCAGGGAGGACTTTAAGCAGTATCTGCAGAAGTCTGATCTAAAGCAGGAGTTTGTGTGTTTTTCAGGGAGGACTTTAAGCAGTATCTGCGGAGGCCTGATCTAAAGCAGGAGTTCGTGTCCGTGTGGCAGCGAGACTTTAACAGCGTTCCTGATGACATGAGGCAGGACGAGGAGACCAAAGCTGAGCTTCACCACAGACTGGACGTGAGACACAAACCCACCAACACACTTTCTATATAGCCACATTATTCAATACACTTACCGTACAGCTGTATTAATGATAGGCTACTCTACAGTATCTTTTACAGGCCGTGTGGTTTGGTGACAGCTGTGTGGTGTAGCTCTGCATTTCGTTTCACACTTTTAATTTTGGTACTTATATTCCACCAATTAAATGTAGTTCCAGCAACTTAGGCCTGATTAACACATACTGCACCTGTGAGGCATGAGCAACGCGGAAAGTCTTGCTTTTCATTTCAGCACACATGTTAATTGGTCAGCGTTTTCATACATGCTGTGTTTATTCGGTGTGCCGTGTGCTTCACACAGCAAAATATACTGAAATTAGCCATTAAATTAATGAAAATAAAAACAGAAAATGGTATAAAACCCTATTTTTAAATTTAATTTACTGTATGATGAAATACCAGTTAAACATTCCGTGCTGCATACAGATTTCCCGGGTTGGTCTACCAGGTGTGAAATGTTTACTTAATCACAAGTCAAAATGCTGTTGAGGGTAAACAAACTATTATAAATGATATTTTTATTGAGCGACTGATGTGACCATTCATTTATCTGGAAAATTGAAGGTCTGTTTAACTTTCTTGATGCTCTGCTCCGCCGAACAAATACTGTATGTATGAAAGGCCAGAGCGTTCAAGCTGTACCGGAGTCTCGTATCCTGTGTCAGATGCATCGGCACATGTGAAATCACTCCAAACCTCCTGACTGACCATGTTTGATTTGCTTCATACTCTCAGGAAATAACGTCATTGTGCCGAACTGATAGTGTGTAAAATTTAAGCTTTCTATCTTCATTATTCAGAAATATGGAGGCTTTAAAAAGTGAGCGTGGCCCTAATTTTTTGTCTATGAATGAACACTATGGGAAAATTCAACCAGTCGCAAATGTTGAATTTTTGATGGTATCTGTAATTAATTTAATTTTCAGGGATTATTCTCACTCCTTACTTCTCACTGTATGACCATATTTAACCAGAGCATCAGATGAATTCAGTCAGCTTAGCCTACAAAACACGCAGCATATTATTATAAGTAAATTTACATATTCACAACACATATGGAACATAATATATATGTATATACATAATGCATGAGACGTGTTAATGTTACATACAGCTACCATTATACATATATGTATACAACTGTTATTACTACACTCTTATATACATATAAAACAGACATGGTGTGTATTACTGTAGGAGCTGCGGGAGCGTCTGTGGGATATCTGTGATAAGAGAAGGGAGGAGGCGATGGAGGAGAGAGCTGGAGTTATAGGAGACGGCTGGCTGAAGGATCACACTGCCCTGCTGATCAACCACTACTCCACTCTAATGCAGGTCAAACACACACCCACATACACACCCACACACACCCACACACACACACACACACTCATATAATACTCTCTGGGAGATCATACAGTCTGGTACAGACACAGGTTCCCTGAAGCTGAGAGATGATGTGAGGACGTCTGGTGTGTGTGCAGGTGGAGGTGGACAGGTTTCAGGACACTCTGCGTGTGCTGAGAGATTATTACACAGGTATGTACAGGAGTGTGTTACCTGAAGCACCTCAGGACTTCACCTGCCTCCCACTGCTGGACATCACCAACAACAACGGCAGCCAGCCGGACAGGACCAAAAGGTGAATTACTCTACATATCCCATAATATTACACTAAACATCCCATAATAGTACACTGCACATCCCATATTATTCAATGCTACCACTGTAGAACAGGCTCAGTTTATATCACAATACCTACATTTAGAGTCAGTTATTCATTCAGCCTAATGAGAAACTGTAGAACAGGCTCAGTTTATATCACAATACCTACATTTAGAGTCAGTTATTCATTCAGCCTAATGAGAAACTGTAGAACAGGCTCAGTTTATATCACAATACCTACATTTAGAGTCAGTTATTCATTCAGCCTAATGAGAAACTGTAGAACAGACTCAGTTTATATCACAATACCTACATTTAGAGTCGGTTATTCATTCAGCCTAATGAGAAACTGTAGAACAGACTCAGTTTATATCACAATACCTACATTTAGAGTCGGTTATTCATTCAGCCTAATGAGAAACTGTAGAACAGACTCAGTTTATATCACAATACCTACATTTAGAGTCAGTTATTCATTCAGCCTAATGAGAAACTGTAGAACAGACTCGGTTTATGTTGTGGGTGGAGTCTGGATAGGACAGTTATCATGTCATCTCTATAGTGTCCTCATTAGTGATGTTAAGAATAGAGGAACTCGTAGGGGAAGGTGTGAGGTGGTCTGTAGGGGATTGTTATGAGGTTCTTTAATGCTCAGTGTGTTGATGTACGTTGTTAGAGATTGTGTGTATGTTCTTGCAGCCCTTCTGGCCCCGCCCCTTCAGAGAGACTCACAAAGAGTGCTGGGAAAAAAAACACAGAGCCAGAGGAGAAGAAAACCAAAGTGTAAGAACACACACACACACACACACACACACACACACACACACACACACACACACGCATATATATATAGTCACTGCCAGAACAAAACCTCTAATTTTTATATATTTTTACCTGCTGCTGTTTAAACTGTGTTAATATTTCATAATGAACAAACTAACATAAATGGTCTAAAATGACTTAGAAATAAATTTTGTTTCATTAACTTACGTTGAAAGTTAATAATGTTCTTTATTTCTCCTGTAAATTTACTTCTTTAGAGATATTAAGTTTTTGCACAGCCACAATACAAATACATATACATGCTGTGTTTCTGTTTGTGCAGAGTTCCTCTGATTGGACGCAGGTCGCCCTCTACAGACCCCTCCAGGCTCCTGCAGGACATCCATCAAACTGCCCTCACTGCCATCACCAACATGGTAACAAACACAGTTCGAAGCCTCTGTTTCTGAACCAGTTTGAAACACCTTCTCTATGAGACTCAGTTTGGACCAACATTCACTGTCATCTCTGATGTCTCTGAATACAGTAGTACTGATTACTGATGTCTGTCCCAGTGTGTAACTGAGGAAGCAGTACTGAAAGCAGCATGTACTTCCATTACATACATATTACTAGTAATAAAAGCGAGAGCTGCGACGTTAGTGTGTGTGTGTGTGTGTGTGTGTGTGTGTGTGTGTGTGTTAGGCGTCAGTGGAGGTTCAGCAGGTGGAGATGGAGGTGAACCAGGAGGTTCAGCAGCAGCAGATGGAGAGAGAGAAAGCACTCTCTCAGGCTTCAGCCACAAACTCCGCCAAGAAGAAATCAGCCAAGAAGAAAGGTACCACAACACACACCACACACACACACACACACACACACACTCTTCCAGAGTATGAAACACACACACACACTTCCAGCTGTCATCCAGTAGGGGGCAGTATATTTCCCCACATTAGATTAGATTTCATTAGATTCAACTATTGTCAATACAGTATTATTTACATATAAGGTGCAGAAGGGTGGTATAGTGGTAAAACAATATATAGATATGCAAGTATAAATATAATATACACCTTTACAGAGTGAGTGGACAGTGTACACTGAGGTAGTAAGTCCTGTGAGAGCAGCATATGTAAAAGATAAGTATGCAGAGTAAACGTACTGTAACTGTTGGTGCAAAAATGAATAGAGCAGTAACAGTGCAGTGACTGCAAAGGTTAAAGTGGCCGTGTGGAGTTCAGCAGTTAAAGTCACAGTGTGGAGGTCAGCAGGGTCACACCCTCAGGGAGTCTGTGGTGGCCTGGGCTGCAGACACACCCCAGTCTGTGTGAGGAGTCAGCCCCTTCCATCCAGATCTTCACAGATCTCGTTGTGGGTTTCACACCATTCATGACTTGGGTGTGGGAACAAAGAGAGGTGGTCAGACTGTCCCAGGTGGTAGAGGGGTGTGGCTTTGGAGGCGTTAGCCACACAGGTGTAAACATAAACCAAACATCTTTGTCGCCTTGTGGTTCAGGAGACATTCTGATGGAACTTTGGAAGTACAGATCTCAGATTACTGTGATTAAAGTCCCCGGCAACCATAAAGCCTCCGTCCAGGTTCACAGTTTGCAGTTTGCTAATGGCAGCACAAAGAAGATAGGGAAGATAGAAGGGTCTGCACTTAATAATCAGGAATTTCAGATCAGCAGAGCAGTGGGTATCATCAGCGACGGAGTCTGTGCACCATGCTTTGTTTAGATAAATGCCAACACACTGTTATGTATTATTACTTAAATAAAGGCAGTCAGGGACGTTTGTTTATCAGTGGTATTAGTGCTCCCTGTGATCTAAATGTGTCTAACAGTCTGTATGTTTACATGAACAAGGACCCACAGCTCATTTCAGTCTGATAACAAACACAGAGAGAGACTGATGTAGTAACTCCTCCACTCACCCAGTCTGATAGTAAACAGATATAAACGGCTATACGTCTCACTGTCCACTCAGATCACTGAGACAGATGTTTATATGTAAGTTTGATCAGGGTCTATTTCACTGCATCGATGCTTTATTTTACTACAACCCAGCTTTCACTCAGCACTGACCAGGTCACCGCTTTAGAATCTGATTTCAGAGACGTGCAGGGCCTCCCTGGTTCTGCACGCTTAGACCTTGACTGTGAATAGTGAATAATCTGAATAATAATCTGTGTGGATTCAGCAGGTGAGCTACGTTTATTATGTAAAACACCCAAAGACATTCTTACTTTGCTAATTAAGTTTATTATTTTAAAACAAATAACAGATCAGTAGAAGAGACTGTTTGGTCAGTTTTAGCCTAAAGCTCCACAATAACAGCTGTACTTTGTGCATTTAACCACTAGGAGGCACTAATGTGCCCTGTTTTGTGAAAACTTCCAGTAATAAACTCTTTATTGCTTCCATTGTCATTGCTGCCGTGTGTGTGTGTGTGTGTGTGTGTGTGTGCTAAAGGCCCCCCGTCCCCGACCCAGGAGCCCACCCCTCCACCTCTGATAGAGGAGAGCCCGGAGGAGGTGCAGGGGAGAGCGGTGAGGAGCAGAATCAGACAGGAGTACAGCAGAGCACTGCAGCATGAAGGTACTTACAGACACATACATACGTCCTGTATGTGTTATATAAACAAAACCTCAGATCTCCAATCAGACACTGTACAGGAGCTCAACTCATAATACAGGTTAACTCAATGTAAATGGAACTGGAGTTTTTCAGTTATGGAAAATATTTTAAAAAGAGCGGAGATACAATATTTTTGTGTGTGACAGCTACAATATTGTAATAATAATAATATGATCATTTATGGAACGTATATATGCAAATATCTATATGTAACAGTAACATATATTCTATATGTATAAGTAACAATACAGTATGACACTAATAATAGTATGACACTAAGATACTATTAGTACCATATATAAATATAGGTGCACTTATCTATTTGGATTCATCTATATTTTTTAAAAAGTACACATATATATGTCAGCATTTCTCTGTGTGTGTGTGTGTGTGTGTGTGTGTGTGTAGAGGGGGCGGCGAGGCAGCGTTTGGAGCTGGTGAAGCTTCACGCTTTGTCCTTCGTCCACAGCGTCCAGCACAGAGCAGAACAGACCCACACAGAGATGCAGGAGTGGCTGGACCACCGCTTCACCTCCGAGATGGACAGGTCAGAAAACACAGAGAGAGACGTAACACAGAGAAAAAGGAGGGTTTACAACAGGCCTTTACAAACTTTTTCAGACCCCCATACACACCTTTGTGCAAAAAAAAGAGCCAAACCCAAAATATAATGCTGTTTACTGCTGGTTCTGGTTCTGGCTGGTCAGAGTCCAGATTTAAACCCTATAGTGAGTATTTGGTCTCACATTAAACTCAAACCAGCTCTGCAGTGTTTTTCAGCTGTGTGGAGCCGTCAGTGCTGAGTGGATCAGTACTGACTCTTCTTTCTGTAGAAGACTGTCTGAACATTCACACACTAAACTCCAACACTTAAAGAAATGAAAGTGTATTAACTCACTTTATCTGTGTTTGATGATTTGTTGATAAGACCACTAAAAGCTTAATTTTTGGGATGGGCCCTGTTTGTTTTGCGCTGGAGTGTAAAGGTAGTTTTGGTCCTGAAACCCACAAAACAACCACAAACAGTCCTTTAATCCCACTTTTACTCCATATTACTGTTCTTTAAACCAGCTAGAGCTGCAGCGAACATCACTACATATTTATTATTACACAAACACTGACATTGATCTGTACTTTCAGACACCTTCAGTATAAACACTTCAATACAGTTCATTAATACTCAGTTGGACACAGTGGGTCACGTCTCCACAGTCACGGTTAAACCACTGCTTTAGATCAGAGGAGAGGAGTAGAGGCTCAGAGGGCGTCTGTACTGTACTGGAATATGAATATAGCTGTATTAGTGTACAGCTGCACTGTCTGTGTGTGTTATGTCTTTTATGTGTATTTTTGTGTGTGTTTGTGTGTTACTGTGTGTGTGTGTGTGTTGTGTGTTCTGTGTGTGTGTGTGTGTGTGTGTGTGTGTGTGTATGTGTGTGTGTGCAGTATACAGCAGCTGTCTGAGGTGGTTCAGCACCACATCGAGAACAGTCGGAAGGTCCCTCACCAGCTGGTGCTGGACTGCACCGACTTCTTCATAGACGGGGAGACGCGGGTGTTACCCACTCCGCCCACTCCGCCCCGCCCACCACCGCTGGAACAAACCAATCACAGCACTCTCACCATCCTGCAGCTGCACGGTCTGCACGCCCAGCTGCACAAGATCGCCCCCACAGGTCTGGAGGAGCTCCTAACATTGAGCGCGTTTAGATGCACTTAATAATCTGATAACTGCAGAACATCAGATTTTGTCAGTAATCTGATCAACGTGTTTTCATGCACTTGAGTAATCAGATGATAGGGAAACTCCGGGTCTACATGAGTCAGACAGTAATCAGATTTCTGGTTTGCAACCAGCCAGTAAACTCACAGAAGGAGACGTGAAACTCATGAACGGTTTAAAAAAAAACACACCACACCACTTTACCTGAAAATATGAACATACATCGTCTAGAAGACGAAGAGTATTTAAATCCTTCATTCTGCTGAGAGTGTAGTCGGTTTTAGCATCGCTCCAAACTAAACTTGCATATTTACAGTTTTACCGTGTGAAGCCAGCCTTACGTTTAACACAGGAAAAAAGATCTTTAATAAAAAAAAAAGATCTGTAATTAAAACCGTTACATTCATCTGTTTTCTTTGTTTAAAGTTGTATTTATATAAATGTTAACGTCATGTCATGTTTTTTTAAACAGTTATTTAAAGACACTTAATGTCTGAACTTCAGATGAAATTTGGATGTAAATATTTCGACCTGGGCAGCACGGTGGAGCAGTGGGTAGCGCTGTCGCCTCACAGCGAGAATGGCCTGGGTTTGATTCCGGCCGGGTGACCAGGGTCATTTCTGTGTGGAGTTTGCCTGTTCTCCCCGTGTCTGCGTGGGTTTCCTCCGGGTACTCCGGTTTCCTCCCACAGTCCAAAGACATGCAGTCAGGCTGATTGGACATGCTGAATTGCCCCTAGGTATGAGTGAGTGTGTGATTGTGTATGTCTGTCTGTCTGCCCTGCGATGGACTGGCGATCTGTCCAGGGTGTATCCTGGCTTCCGCCCAATGACAGCTGGGATAGGCTCCAGCACCCCACCGTGACCCAGAAGGATAAGCGGTTTAGATGATGTTTGTATGTATATATTTTGTCCCCACTTTTCCTTCAGTGATGGGACATGTAAGTGAAAACCTAAGGCCAAAATTTTCACGTTTTATACACGTGACCACAGGCGAATATTTATCTAATTATCTGAGAAAGTCACACTAGATCAGATTTAACACAATTTCACACAATAACACTGTGTACTGCCTGTAGAGTTAGATCACTCAGAGGCAGCCAAACCTCTGTGTGTTGAGACATCACAATCACAACTTTATGGCTGTCTGGCTCACTACATTCAGGGGTTGAGCCTCAAACCAGGAAAGGTGGACATTCTGGTGTTCTTAGTAAAAAGAAGAAGTCCTGAACCTCAGTTAAAATAGTCTCAGTTTAAATCTCAGTCAGAGATATCAGTCAGAAAAATCATACACAATATCATAATAGCAGTCAGAAAAATCATAATTAGACATTTTCCCCAAATTGTTCAGCCTTATGACTCTAATCTGTGTGTTCTTCCTGTTCTATGTAGGTCTGGTGTCCAGTACCGAGCTCTGTAAGGTCCTGCAGGAGCTGACCTCACTCACTATGGGCTCTGATGCTCTACCTGAAGCCTGGATGAACCTCACAGACTCACAGGTGCAACACTGACCTCGCACATCTTACCACTGCAATAGTTGAAGAAAAAATCACCCCCCCCCAAATCCCCCTTACTCCAAATTGATCCAAATTGATCAGGTGTCTGAAATTTAGCATTGGAGCTAACAAGTAATGGAAGCTTATATCCCACCAATTAGCATGGTGCTAACGGTATGCCTAACTCATCACTCGCTTAAACATGTTAGTGAAGTTGGCTTCCTATTCAGCAGCTTCTTCTTTGAAGTATCTGTTCCACCTTAAATGGCCACAGTGTAACTGCTGCATGTATTTAAGGTGGAACGGAACATTCGTATTTTGCTTTCCTGAAACCTGAATTTCGTCTGTGCTTTAGTGCATGTTTACAGATATCAGTGTGTCGGACGGTGTGTTTTATGGTGCTGTGTGTGTGTGTAGGTCCAGGAGCTGGTGTGTGTGCTGTCTCAGGACCGTGAGGTAGTGGACTGGCGTCAGTTTTTACTGAGTGCGGCTCAGCCGTGGCCTTTACCCTCTCAGAACCAACTGCTGAAAACACTCAGACGCTTCAGAGAGAGAGACACTGCGGCCAGCGGAGTCCTTACACTGGAGCAATACAAGCAGGTATAAACACACAGAGGGGTCAGCTCTGAGACCTTCCGTCATGATACAAGGCATCAGATACTGGAAGACCACTAGGAATGGACTGTAACTTGGTGATAAACGCTGCTGTGATCGGCAGGGTGAGTGGGTCAGTGAGAGCTTTGTGTAATTAGGAGTTGTGTGTGGTTGTGCAGGTTGAGTTGTGGTTTTCCAGCCAGAGAGATGTTCCTGTTCCTGATGACCCCACTGAACCTCTGCCATTCGACCGGCTGGCCAACCTCAAGGAGGTACTGCGTAGTCTGTGTGTGCGGATATGTTATGATAGTCTTACTCAGAGTTAGAAATCTCAGTAACACTCATTGGCATAACCATCTCATAAACACGTCATGGAAGATGGTCTTATGATTTGTCCAGCTACAGTCGAGTTCAAACAGAATGGCATGTATAATGTCAATCAGCTGTAATGATAACATGATATTACTTGACATAAACTCATATGATGCGTCTATGTCCCAAGTGTCAAACACAGGGCCGGCGGGCCAAGTCCAGCCCGTGGTACAGTCCTATTCGGCCCGCAAAATTATTTAAATTTTCTATTAATATTAGCCCATTTCACCATGAACTGTACTACAGTTCCCAGCATGCACTGCAACATAATGTGTGCTCCCACCCCCTCAACAACAACCTACTGTACACTGGGGACATTTAAAGAAGTTTAACAGATTTGTGCAGCTAATATAATTTATTGTTTTATATAAAACAGTTCGGTTTGATTTCAAATGATTTTTGAATCATTTAAGTATTCAGTGCCTGTTTTTTGTCTTTGTAGTTTTGACATATTTTTAATAAGCAGTGGCCAGTTGGGTTCATCGAAAAACGTCAAGTAAAAATAAACATCTGGCCCACAGATTTGTTGAGATTTTGTTGAGAGCTGGGTTCGTGTAAAGCCATACTGACCTCTTTTATGTGTATGGACTTTGTGTGTTCATGTGTGCAGTTTTTCTTTGCGCTGTTTGCGGACTCTGGTTCATCCCCGGCTGTTCTGGACTATCTGACCATGCTGCTGTACTTCTGCTGCCATCCTGATCCAGCGCAGGGCTTCACCAGAGCACTCAGCATAGTGACCCAGCACAAACATCAGTACAGACACACCAGCCCCCTGCTGCAGGTACCCTACATTTAATCAGATGTTAACCACTAATAAATAACAGCATCACTAAACCTGTAGACAGTAACCAACACCACTAGTTATAGCTTAGCTAAAGACTCCAAACCACCCAGCAGTGATCAGCCTCTGTCTCTGTAGTCACTGCCCTACATGGACGGTGCTGAGGAGTGTGAAGCTGAGGAAGAGGACGAGTCTGTGCGTAAAGATGATGGTGTGTTGGTGGATGAGCTTCTTAGAGTTCTGAGCCACGGAGGAACACGAGTGACATCACACCACCGCATAGAGTCTAACAGCAGAGAGGAGTTACAGCAGGTACACCTTCATAATCCAGCTATACTCACTGACCCAATGTTTACAATTCTAACCTCACTGTAGCCCACAATTCAGTCTGAACCGACAAAATTCAGTCTGAAATGACAAAATTCAGTCTGAACTGACAAAATTCAGTCTGAACCGACAAAATTCAGTCTGAAATGACAAAATTCAGTCTGAACTGACAAAATTCTGTCTGAACCGACAAAATTCAGTCTGAACTGACAAAATTCAGTCTGAATACAACTGTAGCTCAAAAATTCAGTCTGAACTGACTGTAGCCCCACAAAATTCAGTCTGAACTGACTGTAGCCCCACAAAATTCACTCTGAACTGACAAAATTCAGTCTGAACTGACTGTAGCCCCACAAAATTCAGTCTGAACTGACAAAATTCAGTCTGAACCGACTGTAGCCCACAAAATTCAGTCTGAACTGACAAAATTCAGTCTGACTGACAAAATCAGTCTGAACTGACTGTAGCCCCACAAAATTCAGTCTGAACTGACAAAATTCAGTCTGACCGACTGTAGCCCACAAAATTCAGTCTGAACTGACAAAATTCAGTCTGAACTGACAAAATTCAGTCTGAACTGACTGTAGCCCCACAAAATTCAGTCTGAACTGACAAAATTCAGTCTGAACCGACTGTAGCCCACAAAATTCAGTCTGAACTGACAAAATTCAGTCTGAACTGACAAAATTCAGTCTGAACCGACTGTAGCCCACAAAATTCAGTCTGAACTGACAAAGTTCAGTCTGAACCGACTGTAGCCCACAAAATTCAGTCTGAACTGACAAAGTTCAGTCTCAACTGACTGTAGCCCACAAAATTCAGTCTCAACTGACTATAGCCCACAAAATTCAGTCTGAACTGACAAAATTCAGTCTCAACAGACTGTAGCCCACAAAATTCAGTCTCAACCGACTGTAGCCCACAAAATTCAGTCTGAACTGACAAAATTCAGTCTTAACCGACTGTAGCCCCACAAAATTCAGTCTGAACTGACAAAATTCAGTCTGAACTGACTGTAGCCCCACAAAATTCAGTCTGAACTGACAAAATTCAGTCTGAACTGACTGTAGCCCACAAAATTCAGTCTGAACTGACAAAATTCAGTCTGAACTGACAAAATTCAGTCTGAACCGACTGTAGCCCACAAAATTCAGTCTGAACTGACAAAGTTCAGTCTGAACCGACTGTAGCCCACAAAATTCAGTCTGAACTGACAAAGTTCAGTCTCAACGGACTGTAGCCCACAAAATTCAGTCTGAACTGACAAAAAACGGACTGTAGCCCACAAAATTCAGTCTGAACTGACAAAGTTCAGTCTGAACTGACTGTAGCCCACAACATTCAGTCTGAACTGACAAAATTCAGTCTTAACGGACTGTAGCCCCACAAAATTCAGTCTGAACTGACAAAGTTCAGTCTCAACTGACAAAGTTCAGTCTGAACTGACTGTAGCCCACAAAATTCAGTCTCAACGGACTGTAGCCCACAAAATTCAGTCTGAACTGACCAAATTCAGTCTTAACGGACTGTAGCCCACAAAATTCAGTCTGAACTGACAAAGTTCAGTCTCAACTGACAAAGTTCAGTCTGAACTGACTGTAGCCCACAAAATTCAGTCTCAACGGACTGTAGCCCACAAAATTCAGTCTGAACTGACAAAGTTCAGTCTCAACTGACAAAGTTCAGTCTGAACTGACTGTAGCCCACAAAATTCAGTCTCAACGGACTGTAGCCCACAAAATTCAGTCTGAACTGACAAAATTCAGTCTTAACGGACTGTAGCCCACAAAATTCAGTCTGAACTGACAAAATTCAGTCTGAACTGACAAAGTTCAGTCTGAACTGACTGTAGCCCACAAAATTCAGTCTCAACGGACTGTAGCCACAAAATTCAGTCTGAACTGACAAAAATTCAGTCTTAACGGACTGTAGCCCACAAAATTCACTCTGAACTGACAAAATTCAGTCTGAACTGACAAAATTCAGTCTTAACGGACTGTAGCCCACAAAATTCACTCTGAACTGACAAAATTCAGTCTGAACTGACAAAATTCAGTCTTAACGGACTGTAGCCCCACAGAATTCAGTCTGAACTGACAAAGTTCAGTCTGAACTGACTGTAGCTCACAAAATTCAGTCTGAACTGACAAAATTCAGTCTGAATACAACTGTAGCTCAAAAATTCAGTCTGAACCCAACTACAGCCGATGTTTCGGTGTAATTGTGTGTTTAGGATCTGGTGAAGGTCTTTAAGGAGTTGGGCTTTGATGCGGAGGAGAAGATTCCATTCTCAATGCTATCCCAGCATCCGTTCCTGCAAGACCTGATGGAAGGCTCTTCACAGTATCTGCTAACAGTGAGTGCTGTAACACACAGACTCTTGAAAGTGATACACAAATACAGTTCTTCATAAAAATAAATTAAAAACTGAGTTAACTGTGTCTGCTTTTAAGTTCATTTTTTCATGCTACATTAATAATACATTTAAATATTTTAGAATGAAGCGTTTTTGTGAACAGTTTTTGATGCTGCTGTTTCCCTGCAGGATATTCACAGACTTCTACACATCCCGAAGAGTGATGGAGAACCTTCAAGCTTCACCACATCATAGACTCGCATTCACGTGAACACAGAGAGCTTCAGGATAAAGAAAGGACTTCCAAATCCATTAGTCACAAACACAGGAGCTCACAGGCTAAACAGAAACATGAATTACACAAATTACAGTAGAATTAAAATTACAAATTGCAAATTTCTCTGTAATGCTCTCTGTAATGTTACTTAAATATGTTATTATATATAAAACAATTGTTCATATTTCCTAAACCCATCTTTAGCGGTAAACTGTGCTGATGTAAGATGTTCTACCAAAGAATATTAGTAGTTGAATATATGGTTCTGCTGTTATTCCTCTCTGCTGGTTTGTGGTGGATCCTACATATTCTGAGAACCAGAAACAACACAACAAAAACCCTTCAGTAAACCCTTCAGTCCTTCAGTAAAACACTAACCTCTGTTTATTTGAATTGTTCATATGTATTTGGTTATCTACACATATGTCATTTCTATATTTCAGAAGTGCAGCTCTTGCCTTCAGTCAGTAACCTAGTTGTAGCTGGAGCTGTTCTAGCAGGATCTGCAGTTGCTAAACTGGTTCTAGGTTTTACTGATAAAGACACAGTAAAGTGATGCCAAATACTGAACATACAGATAGAACTGAACTGTATACATGAATATTCTCTGTACTCTACACAGCTGTAAACTTATAAAATATAAACACACAATCTGTCATGTGTTCTGATCTGGTCTGTAGCTGATATATTGTACACTGGAAAATGTATGCTATTACTGTTAGCACAGAATTAGCCTGATTATTCAGCTGGTTTTAACCTACTGACAACATTAGTATCATTGCTGTGTTTAATGTTGAAAATGAAAATATTACGATAAAATGTAATAAAATAAAATAAAAAAATTACAATCAAACAAAAATGAAAGCAAATTCTACTCTTGTTTAATAACACTGATAGTAGCAAAGCAGTTAGATTTACAAGTGAAACTGTGTAGAAGTAAAATGAATATAAATTACACAAATTTATCGCAATAATCATCAGTGATATCAGCATCAGGAAATATAACCCGTCCTGTAATTTACACGGGTCATTACCTGTCCTCTGGCCCGTTTCCTCCTGATTTAATGGAGGACAGAGTGTAGATCCAGTCCACACAGCAGCTTAGATTGAAAGTGTTGGGTGACATCACAGCTAGAGAGATTTTAAAAGAGTGGTTAAAATGAAAACACAGAAATACACAAAAGTACCTTCTTATCATTTCTATAAAAAAGGCAAAAAGAGAAGACCAGGAGTCAGAGGTCAGAGTGTAAGACTGTAAATTTACTTGAAGAATCATGTCAGCCTTACAGGCATGACCCAGCGTTACTGACCTCTCCTCCCCTTCTGCATCTGTGGACACCTGTGGAAGGCAGGTGTGATGCACATCAGAGCGGTGAGAGGAAGTGGGTGAGGGAACACCCACTTTCTCTCTCTCTCTCTATTTCTTTCCCTCTCTGTCTCTCTCTCTCTCTTGCTCCACTCCCAGGACAAATATACAGATACAAATATGCAGATGTTAATCAAATAAGTCAGGTACATGATTACTTATTTATTACAATAAAAGAACATCTATCAACACATCTAAGATTGATCTCTGAAACAGTAAGGTAGGGTCAAAGGACAAACAGCTCACAACCTGTTTACAGTAATCACAGGTTGACTAATGCTAAGAACTGAATGTATTTCAATGTATTTCAGTGACAAACAATGGAACCAAAGCTGCCACTGTAAAAAGCAGCTTTTCACTGTTTTCACAGATTTTTTAGAAGGTGATATAAAACTTAACCTCAAGAGAGAAATTTGTTTTCATAGTTTTTCACGAAGCTGAGCTACAGCAGCTTGAACAGAGATTCTGTGTCTTTCTAGGGGTCCAGAGGGTTAAATGGGAACCTCCCCAAATGTCACACCTTAGTCTTCATCAATCACTTTGTTTTGGTTAAGTGGCCAACACCGAAATCTTTATCGCAATAAGTATAGGTAATATAAAAGATCATATCTCTTTTTATCTCTAACCTGTTTGTAGATGCCTCCCTGGATGCTCCTCAAAGGCAGAGCGTACTCCATGACACTTCTGGTTTTCACTCTATCTACTGGGTATTCGTACCCACCAGTGTGAACACCAATCAGCTCACAGGACTCGTTAAAGACTGGAGAGCCAGATGAACCATGTAAGAAGTAGGAATAGTAGGTGATCCAGGACTCATGGCAGTGCCACTTCTTTTCTTCACGTCTGTTTTTGACTATATGCATGTATTTTGGGTTCTG